TCTTTCTTTCTTTCTTTCTTTCTTTCTTTCTTCTTTCCCTTTCTTTCCCCCCCAGTTATGCGTCTCTTCTAATTTGCTTAGTGTATATTTTTCTGAGGTCATTATTACCCTGTTAGCATTTTGTTCTCTCATTCATCTATTGTCCTCTGGACAAAATGACAAGATGGAAAAAATCACCTCAAAAAAAAAAGAACAAGAGGCAGTACCAACTACTAGGGACCTAGTCAATATGGACATTAGTAAGATGTTGGAACTAGAGTTCAGAATGACGATTGTAAAGATACTAGCTGGGCTTGAAAAAAGCATAGAAGATACTAAAGAATCCCTTGGTGGAGAAATAAAAGAACTAAAATCTAACCAAGTGGAAATCAAAAAGGCTATTAATGAGGTGCAATAAAAAATGGAGGCTCTAACTGTTAGGATAAATGAGGCAGAGGAGAGAACTAGTGATATAGAAGACCAAATGATGGAGAATAAGGAAGCTGAGAAAAAGAGAGAGAAACAACTACTGGATCACGAGGGCAGAATTCGAGAGATAAGTGATACCATAAGACAAAACAATATTAGAATAATTGAGATCCCAGAAGAAGAAAGAGAGAGAAGGGCAGAAGGTATATTGGAGCAAATTATAGCAGAGAACTTCCCTAATTCGAGGAAGGAAACAGGCATCAAAATCCAGGAGGCACAGAGAAGCCCCCTCAAAATCAATAAAAATAGGTCAACACCCTGACATCTAATAGTAAAACTTACAAGTCGCAGAGATAAACAGAAAATCCTGAAAGCAGCTTGGGACAAGAGGTCTCTAATCTACAATGGTAGAAACAGATTAGCAGCAGCCCTATCCACAGAGACCTGGCAGGCCAGAAAGGACTGGCATGATATATTCAGAGCACTAAACAAGAAAAATATAAAGCCAAGAATACTATATCCAGCTAGGCTGTCATTGAAAGTAGAAGGAGAGATAAAAAGCTTCCAGGACAAAAAAACTCAAACCAGCCCTACAGGAAATATTGAAAGGGGTCTTCTAAGCAAAGAGAGAGCCTAAAAGTAACATAGACCAGAAAGGAATAAGGACAATACACAGTAACAGTCACTTTACAGGCAATATAATGGCACTAAATTCATAGCTCTCAATAGTTACCCTGAATGTAAATGGGCTAAATGCTCAAATCAAAAGACACAGGGTATCAGATTGGATAAGAAACAAGACCCACCAATATGCTGCCTGCAAGAGACTCATTTTAGACACAAAGACACTCCCAGATTGAAAGTGAGGGGGTGGAAAACCATTTACCATGCTAATGGACACCAAAAGAAAGCTGGGGTGGCAATCCCTTTATCAGACAAATTGGATTTTAAACCAAAGACTATAATAAGAGATGAAGGACACTATATAATACTTAAAGGGTCTATCCAACAAGAAGATCTCACAATTGTAAATATCTGTGCCCCTCACATGGGAGCAGCCAATTATATAACCTAATTAATAACAAAATCAAAGAAACACATTGACAACAATACAATCACAGTAGGGGATTTTAACACCCCCCCTCACTGAAATGGACAGATCATCTAAGCAAAAGATCAACAAGGAAATAAAGACTTTAAATGACACACTGGACCAAATGGACTTCACAGACGTATTCAGAACATTCCATCCCGAAGCAACAGAATAAACATTCTTCTCTAGTGTCCATGGAACATTCTCCAGAATAGATCACATCCTAGGTCACAAATCAGGTCTCAACCGGTACCAAAAGATTGGGATCATTCCCTGCATATTTTCAGACCACAACGCTTTGAAACTAGAACTCAATCATAAGAGGAGAGTCGAAAAGAACTCAAATACATGGAGGCTAAAGAGCATCCTACTAAAGAATGAATGGGTCAACCAGGAAATTAAAGAAGAATTTAAAAAATTCATGGAAACCAATGAAAATGAAAACACAACTGTTCAAAATCTTTGGGATGCAGCAAAGGCAGTCCTAAGAGGAAAGTATATAGCAAGACAAACCTTTCTCAAGACACAAGAAAGGTCTCAAATACACAACCTAACCCTATACCTAAAGGAGCTGGCGAAAGAACAGAATAAAACCTAAGCCCGGCAGGAGAAGAGAAATAATAAAGATCAGAACAGAAAATCAATGAAATAGAAACCAGAAGAACAGTAGAACAGATCAATGAAACTAGGAGGTAATTCTTTGAAAGAATTAATAAGATTGATAAACCCCCGGCCAGACTTAACAAAAAGAAAAGAGAAAGGACCCAAATAAATAAAATCGTGAATGAAAGAGGAGAGATCACAACCAACACCAAAGAAATACAAACAATTATAAGAACATATTATGAGCAATTGTATGCCAGCCAATTAGATAATCTGGAAGAAATGGATGCATTCCTAGAGATGTAGAAACTACCAAAACTGAACCGGGAAGAAATAGAAAACCTGAACAGACCCATAACCACTAAGGAAATTGAAGCAGTCATCAAAAATCTCCCAAGAAACAAGAGCCCAGGGCCAGATGGCTTCCCAGGGGAATTCTACCAAACACTGAAAGAATTAATACCTATTTTTCTGAAACTGTTCCAAAAAATAGAAATGGAAGGAAAACTTCCAAACTCGTTTTATGATGCCACCATTACTTTGATCCAGACAAAGTCCCCATTAAAAAGAATTACAGACCAATATTCCTGATGAACATGGATGCAAAAATTCTCACCAAAATACTAGCCAATAGGATCCAACAGTACATTAAAAGGATTATTCACCATGACCAAGTGGGATTTATTCCTGGGCTGTAAGATTGGTTCAACATCTGCAAATCAATCAATGTGATACAATACATTAATAAAAGAAAGAACAAGAACCTTATGATCTTCTCAACAAATGAAGAAAAAGCATTTGACAAAGTACAGCATCCTTTCTTGATCAAAACTCTTCAGAGTATAGGGATAGAGGGTACATACCTCAATATCATAAAAGCCATCTATGAAAAACTCACAGCGAATATCATTCTCAATGGGGAAAAATTGAGAGCTTTTCTCCTAAGGTCAGGAACACGACAGGGGTGTCCACTATCACCACTGC